CGGACCCTCAAAAATTGCCAAATCACGATTCCGGGTCCGTTTCCCCAAAATATTGACCGAAGTCAAACTTGGCCTTTTTAAAGAAACTTAAAGAAGCAACTAGGCTTATTCTTGCTCAAAACTCTTCTAACTTCCGAACCACCCGTCCCCGCAAGTCATAAATTAGCTAAAGCAAGTGCGAAAAGTATTATTTAAGGGAACGGGGTTCGAAAATGCAAAATGACCAGTCGGGTCGTTACACCGTGTTTCACCTCTGCATTTTTCAGGCATTCGTATCATTGCAATTGTCGTTCTATAATTAGTATGTAGTGAATTACCATTATATGTAAAATATGTGACTAATTCTTTTGGATTTAAAATAATTCCACAATTTTTTGATTAAATAACCATAAGTATCGTAAATATTTTTCAAACAGAAAAAAGGAGATTTTATTCTGCTTAACCACATTAAATGTATAATTAACCTGCTTGCTAATAAAAATAATAAAAGAACACTATCATTTAGTTATTTCTAATTTTGTCATATCATTATGCAATATTAAAGATTTACCTTTTCCAGATTATATTTACTGTTGTACAATCGCTTAGATTCAATAAATACTTAATAAAATTTATTAACTTAAAAATACTTTAAAATATAATTTTAATTATTTTTCAGATAAGTTCAACACTGAACTATAATGAAGAAAACTGTATTACACGCTATCCAATATATTTAAAATGAGAATAAGAAACTGACAAGGTTCAGCTTATTAATTTATTAATTTTAATTATTTGATTACCAAATTTTATTTTAAAGGTCAATTTGACTAATTTCTAAAGCAAAATAGAAAATCAATCCGCTTTTAAATTATTATTTTATAAATTTCATTAAATTAAAGAACATACAAAACTTAGTACTTAAGAAGCAACAAAATATATTTATTCGAAAGTTAGATTTTTACTCAACAATTGGTTAATAAAAATAAAATGAATTAGGCAAACGATTGTAATCCGGAAAACTGAAATAATAAGTAGCATTTCAATATTTTAAGATGAATTATTATGAAACTATTGATTAGTTGAGCAGATTAATGTAATATTAATACCGACTTGACTTTTTTGACAATGATAGGTTAAATTATTTGTATTAGGAAAATATTTTATTTATGATAGATGAATTCTCAAATGCTATAGAATATGAGAGACAATTACCAAAAAAATGGATATTTAAATTATGAAACAAGTCCATAAGGTGGAAAAGAAAAACTCAGGGAAATATACGAAGAAATTAAAAGAAAAAAAGTGAATTAAGGTTGGGCACAAAAAATACTAATGCAGCAAAAAAAAAAAAAAAAATTAAAACCTCTAACTTTGACTAAGGATGAATATAAATTAATTTTAGACACAGATACTTTACACAAATTCGAGGACCAATAGCAAGAAGATAAGGAATGGAATTGAGAATTTAGGAGCAAGAAAGAACGTTTTCATAGTCAAATGTGAGGAGGGAAAGAGTTCTTATTTATTTATTTATTAATATACTTTAAGAAAAACAAGAATTCAAAATGTCATCATGTAATTACCATCAACTTTTGCCCCTTTGAGAATGAGGGAGCGTAATTACCTCATTTTAATAACGCTCAATTTCATATTAACTAAGTAATTATATATGAAGATAAGTATATCAAATTGTGTAATTTACTCAAACTTAATTGCAATAAAATTTTCAAATAATCATTAAAAGTACATATTTGAGCGTTTGATTTGTTATCTAGTGTACATATAAGCTGCACTTTAATTAACCTTTTTTTTTCCACCTAACTTCTATGTACCTTGACTCATGGTTAAAGTGGTATTCGTCGCTCAACGTACCTTTTGCTGTTAATAATAGTATGCATGAACAGAGCTCCCTAGTAGGTTAAACCACGATAATGGCCATTTGAATTAGTACACCTAATTTCAGAGTGATTCTCCAGATTTATGAGCAATGTCACAGTCTGTTTGGCTAAGCTTCTAAATCATCTTATTTTGAATAGTCGTTTTAGCCTAAAAAAAACTTGGCAAAACAGGCTATTAGTCATTAACAAAGACATCTCTCACCTTTTTTCCTTCCTTATGGGGGTACATACAAAACATTTCCCTTCCTTAAGGGAGTACATATGAAAATTAATAAGCTCGGTACACGAGACGCAATATTTATCAGAAAAATATGAAAGCAGAACGATCCATCTATTTCAGAATTACACTCCAGGACACTGAAGCCTGAAGATTAAATATTTCTAAGGATAATATGCTTTAGAATTTTTACTTATACAAACATATCATTGTCACATTAAATCGATGTCAGCTAACAAAGAATAAAATCAAGAACGTGTACGCTGAAGTATAGAAGGCATTCCAATCATAACTAACATTGCAATGAACACGTGAAACAGTCATTTTTACAAGAACTCTCTTGTGCATCCAAATTTGCACCAAAGGTATGGCCTAGCCTAGCTATCAATGAAGACGATGAAAATTATAAAAACCACAAACAAAAATCCAAAAGAAACAAAAAAACTTTCGGTAATTACTTCCCCTGAGCCCAAGTCCTTGGTAGACAAATTTACTGACTTTGCTCCCGGTTTCTATGCTACAACTGTTCTAATAAAAGAAGTGCTTTCTATTCCTAAGCTTTTTCCTCATGCTACAACCCCTTTCTACATAAACGTTACTCTGCTCCCAGTTTCACGGCCCTTTCCGGTTTCTCCGAGCCCATCAACAGGAAAAACTTCATATTCTTCCTAACACAGAAAGTCGCATCTCCCGTAACAGTGTAGAGACCGGGATCTGTTTGTTTATGTCTGGCTAATTAGTTTAAAAAGCACTTCTGAGCAGCAATTAGCGTTTGGCCAAGCTTTAAAAAACTGCTTCTAAGTGTATTTTTCTCAAAAATGTTTCTCAAAAAAGTGCTTCTAAGTATATTTTTCTCAAAAGTGCTGCTCAAAAAAGTGCTTTTGGGAAGAAACTACTTTTTTCTGCTTCTCCAAAACTGCTTCTGCTTCTCCTCAAAAGCACTTTTTTTCCTTCTAAAAGCTTGGCCAAGCACCTCAATTTTTGGCCAAAAGTGCTTTTGCCAAAAAAAACAAAAAAACAAAGAAGCTTGGCCAAACAGGCTATTAATAACACACCGTACTGTCAGCTCTAGCACAAATATGCTATCAATACAAAACGTAACTTGGAGTGAAGATTCACTTACCTAATATAAATAAATAGGAGACCAACTTGAAACTCATAGAACATTTAAGAATAAAGTTATAAAATAAATAGGCAAAGATACATTAGCTTCAAACACACAAAAATCAGCAAAAAGATCGATTTTGAACTTCAAATATATGAATTTATTGGTCATTAGATGCACCAGTACAAGTAGACAACCGTTGACATGAACCAACTGCCACAATTTTATTCATATGAACAATATTGAAGAAGAGTTGGCTCCAGACGAGTTCAGATGTAAGAACAATATACTCAAAAAGGTTTCCTGCTGCCCTGCATTCACTTATCAACCCTTGATTAAAAGGCACAGTTGGACAGCTTGGCCTTCATCAATAAAAACGATGCAAAATTAGGAGGCAAACAATGCATTTTGCCCACAATCTTCATGCAATTAGTTACTTTGAACCAACATACGCTCTCACCTTTCCGATATCGACTTCGTCCATCAACACCAGATAATTAACCACAACAGACCACCAACAACAAACAGACAGAGCCTTCAGCCTTTGTCTGAATGATTCTAATCAAAGTACAACCACTTGCCATAAAACAGTAGTCTCTGAAGCAAGGAATCAGCATACACATTGCAAATTGATGTATACAACAAGATATTTCTCAATGTAAATGATAACTAAAGGAATTCTATAGGTAGCACACTATAGACTAAACAAATTCTTTAGGCCGACATATTTGCCGCCATGTGCTAAGGAGAATCCATTACTACCCAAAATACGAATACATCATGCAGCACCCACAAGTATAGCAAAAAGATTATCTGTGATATGGAAAAGCACATGAACAAAAGCACATCATAATCTTGGTCAGCATCACCGCCCAATATCAAGTCCATCAATAAATATCATGTCCAAACAATTATAAATGCTACATCAACATATGTTAAGTGACATATCTGATACAGGTGACTAGTTGCTAGATTTTTAGTGTATCTTGAAGAATCTGCCACACTCTGTCAGACCTATTCGAAATGGCTGCATCAAGGCCAATGAAGGGTCCAATGTAAATGGAAATTACAGTAAGCATGCACATACAAAAGTCATCATCAGACTCGAACAATACTGCCCAAATCCAATTCTAAAAAGAACATGATCTAATGATCCAAATAGATTACCAGATATGTGAATCAACCTAGATGATTGACATCATTCTGCATAACAAATAACGTTAACTAGACTCTCAACTTGGTAGTCCAAATTATAAGAAAACCAAAAGTTAAGTGGTACATCTAGCATTTTGTAAGTAAGCCATTTGTGATCATCTCATCTTCATTGTTCTCTGACCAACTGAAATAATAAAAGACTTCATAACAATTAGAAAACAACTGCCTGGTCACCCCAACAGAACCCCATCAATCAATCTCTGTTATACCGCCAAATCGTGTCTCTGTTCATACCAAAACATCCAGATCTGATCAATACCAACCAAATCCAATTATAAAATAGCACGCAATATGGTTAGCAGAAAGGAACAATCAATCACAACAATTAACATCATTCTCTATAACAAATTACTAACTAAATTCCCAAGTTGGTTGATCCAAATTACAAATTCCAGTTTTGTGTCTAAAAAGAAAAGGTACATCTTACATAGAGCATTATTTTCATCTCATTTCCATCATTCTTTTATCTACTTAATACAGTAAATCATTCACAAAATTATATAAAAATAAACTACCGCGAAATATTTGATCAAACCCTAGCGGCAACAGCAGGGGCGACAGCTACGGCGGCAGCATTGGCGGCGCCACCGCTCAAGAAAGAGAGAAACCCAGTAGCGGGAGAGTCCTGTGGATCGTCAAGGAAAAGATCCTCAGGGACCCTGAAAGCAGCATGCGTACACACAATCGCAAGACCAATCATGAGAGCTGAAACAAGCACACTTCCAACAGATGTCAAGAAGATCACAACCACAGTCGAAATAATAAGCAGACCCAGCGTCTCCCTCTCAGAAAACTGCCGTCCAAATATAACCAAAGGCGGATCGGAAGGGCGGAAAAGGTAAAGGAAAAGCCAAGCGGCGAGGAGGCCGGAGAGGACAAGAAGGGAAAAAGGGTTTGTAATGAGTGAAAATGCAAGAACAACGGCAAGGGCAGAGAGGTAATTGATACGGAAGTAGGTGTAGTTTTTGCGGATACGGAGAGTGGCGTCGGAGAATGATTCCGGTTTGGAAAAAGCGGACCGGTCGAGGAGCTCGGACCAGGGACGGCGGTTGGCGAAACCGGTTTGGACGGTGGTGGAGATGTGGTTGATGAATGAACGGAATGCTGGTGTTGGGCCGATTTGTTGCGCCGTGTCGGTGGCGGCTGGTGCGTTGATTGTTGGGAGGATTGCTGGTGAAGATGTGGCTGCCATTTTTTTGCTTGTGTGTGTGTGAGAGAGAGAGAGAATAGGTAATAAAGAGTAAATAAGGGGCGATTTATACAAAGGTTGGGATTTTTTCTTAATTGTTACGATTCTGACTGAGAGAGAAACGAGAACCTATATTCGTCGGTGGATTCACTCGCTATATAATTTTCTTTTTTTCTTTTTTTCCGTTGCGCATGCGATTTTCTTTTTTCCTCGAAGTTTATGTATACGAATTACGAAGTCTCTATTTAACTTCAATATTAAGCTAATGTAATTCTTTTGGTAAGGACTATTATTAAGCTAATATAATAACTCACGCGTCTTTGGAAATTAAAGTGACCTTGGCATAATCTATCTATATCTATCTATATCTATCTATCTATTTATATTATTATAAAAGCATGAATACAATGTCGGTTTACAAAAATAACCTTATAATATTAAGAACAATAACTTATAATAAAAGGACATAACCGAAATTCTAAATATTAGCCTTATAATCCTATTAGTTTTAGGACATAATACTACACATTAGGAATCCAATTAGTATAATTACTTTCAGGCGTAAACATAAAATACTACATGTTAACAAGTAAACCTAATACTTTAGGAACACATTAGGTTTCTATTACTTTTAGAATATACTTATTAAAAAATTTGACCGAAAATTTTGATAAAAATGGTACTTATTTTGGAGAGCTAAGATATTTATTATTTGGCCGATTTATGATAAAAATGCGTTATTTTGAATAGTAAATGAGGTAAAGTTTTCCTGTGAAGAGGAAGTAGAAATCTGCAGTGTCTCATAGAAGCAAAACAAAAAAATTATTCTTAGGACTAATATATCCTTATCAAAATTTATGTTATTCAAATTATTCCTCTATCTATATCTATATCTATATTTATTATAAAAGCATGAATAAAGTGTTGGTTTACAAATAACCTTTCAATATTAAACATAATAACTCACAATAAAAAGATATAACCGGCATTCTAGACATTAGCCTTGTAATCCTATTAGTTTTAGGACATAATACTACATGTGAGGAATTACTTTCGTGATATTGACATATTTTTAGCCATGTAATCCTATTACTTTTGGGATATACTTCTTAAAAATTTCTATTACTAATTTAATATATGAAAATGTATTATATATTGTCCAAATTCATATAGAAACAAGAGATCTTATATTATAAGCAGGAATACAATATTGATAGACTAAATAGACCTATATTATACAGAAGAACTCATAGGAAATGACATAATTGTAATAACTTATTTTTTGGACGACAATAACTTCTATGTTAATTTTTTTTTTAATATTTAACATTTTAAAATTAATATAATCTTGAATATTGAGAAAAAAATTCCCATGATAATATATTATTCTATTATATTTGAACTACTTTCCTAATCAAATAATATTTTATTATTATTAATTTTCGTGTCATATTAAAAAATATACTCAATTATTAAAGAACAACTAAAAAAAGATTTTAAGAATATAAATGTGTGAGAAAGAGACAGAGAAAGAAAAAGGTTGGTAAAAGTCAATATCATTAATGATTTTACAAACATAAAGATCTAAAAGTGAAATGTCAGATCAATCTTTTTACTCTTTGGAAATCAAATTCATAGTGGATAAAATTATAATTAAGGTTAAATATTCAAACATGAGATGAACTAATATTAAGAATCCGAATCAATAGAAAGTAAATTATTTTTATGTTAAACCAAAATAATCAAAAATTTTAATTAATTATTTAGCAAGATAATCTAATTAAATTACTTTTTTAATTCATCATATGAGTAAAATTATTTTTCAAGTTTAAAAAAATCTTAGGGTAAATAAATTTATTTCATACAAACAGTGTTAGAGATTAAAAAAATAGATCACAAAGTAAAAAAGATTAGTATAATATTATGAAGGTTATATAAGTGTTTGAGGAAGCACAATCAAAGCTAAATCCTAGACAAGAATAAGCTTTCAAGACTATACTATAAAAAGTCGACTTCGTATAGCGGGGATTATTCTTTGTAAATGCCTCCGACGGAATCGAAATAATATTCCTATGTCATGCATTACTTGCAAATATCAGATCAAGAGGCATGATATTTAGCAATAAGAACAAGTGGTGTACCATCAATGATTTTATTATGAGATCGTACCAATGCTTTAAAAGGTGGGGCGTGAGGCGAGGCGTTTTACCTCTGACGAGGCGAGGCAAGCCCTGAGACATGGGGCGTAAGTCCCACGGATCTTTAAATTTTACTAATTTCAAGAATTTTAAGATAGTATAAAATAAAAATAATTATAAAAGTTACATCAAAATCACAAAATTATAACAAATAATCTATTTAAAATATTTACAAATTATAATTCGACTATGAATAATACGAAAAGTATGACATATATCATAATATGCAAATTAGTTGCAACGTCGTTACAACTCAAACATCAAAAGTAATGTATTCGATATGAAATCTTATATGTATCTCTTAAGGAGTAGTAAATCTCGAAAGAATTTCAATATTATAATTTGATATTTTATTTAAAATAATCCTTTTATTTAATATGCTTTCTATTTGAAAGAGAATTTATATAAAAACATAATTAATAATTTAAATATGATTCTCTAGCATCATTTATTTTTAAATTTCAACAAGTTAATAAACTGACACATAATTCACCATACAATATCATCATAACTAATTATTTGTAAATAGTTACTAGCTAATACTGAGTTATTAAATTAATAAGTATTGTATCTCATAAATGTGAAAAAAATAATATTTAGAAAAATAATTATAAAAAAATTATGGACTATTATATAGTAAAGACATAACAAAAGTTAATAAATAAATACTTTTGAAATGAAAGATTTATTTAAAATTTACTATCATAGCAGTCTTAGTGGATAACGTGCAATAATTTTTATTTTAATTATGACATAAAATACTCTCAACTTAATGATTTATGATTAAGAAAAAAGTAATTTTGAATAGTCAACGATTTGTTAAGAAAATTTGAGGGTTTATAAGGTTAGTTACATACAATTGCATAAAGTTCTATTAGGCGAGCCCAGTACCCTGGGCGTTGGGCATGTCCGAGGCGTAAGCTCCGGTGGCCGAGGCGTAAGTCTCACGGAACTAAGCCCCACACATAAGCCCATGGGCGTTTTACGAGTGATCCGCCCCGGGGCGAGTCCCAATTCTGCCTTTTAAAACAGAGGATCGTACAACTCACTTTACATTTGATATACCTCTTCAAATAACTGAAATAATCATCACAAATATATCAAAGCAGGACAATAGTGCTTAATTTATAAGGAAACCAAAAGTGCTAATAAGGGATGAAACGCTTTTGGCTAAGCATCAAACGATCGAAACAATTGCCCAGAGTTTTAGAGATATATGAGATATCAATGAACCGTTTGGTGGAAAATTAATAGTTTGGAAGGTGATTTCTGTCAAGTATTATCAGTAGTTTCAAAATTGACGAAAGCAAAAACTATAAAAGTTAGCTTGCCAAAATTATACTTATGGCCTCAATTGGAAAATATTCAAATGACAAGAAATATAAAAGTAAGAACATATCCAATATTCAATGACTCTTGCTACGTGTTGGAAACGAAGAAGAGCATCCAGTAAAAGATGATTTGTAGAACGCTTGGTTATCAACCCCAATGGTAATAGTAGTGCATTTAATAAAAAAAAATATTAGATTAAAACGCAATTTGTGCAAATTACATGATAGAAATTAAAGAGCTATCTTAGCTAGCAGAAATGAATATGTTGATCAACTAAATAAAAGATTGATTGCTAAGTTTTATGATAAAAACAAAATATTTTTCAGTTTTGACTCACCAGAAAATGATACTAATAATTACTACCAAGAAGAATACTTAAATACTTTAATACCAAATGGCCCTCAACCGTACATGTTTGTTGTCAAGTCATTATTTCTTACGTATGTTAGTGCCAACATATATAATATAAACTAAGTAAAAATTTATCTTCCATTGCATAGGTTGATTTTGAAGAAAAATATGTCCGTCATACTACTGAAAATTTAGATCAGCATAATAGCTTATGCAATAGTACACATATGGTATGTAGAAGTTTTGAGTTCCCGAATTCAGCTTTCGTCTTCTGAAACTAAAGAATATCCTTTTAAATTTTTGTGAAAATAATTTTCAATATGTTTATATTTTGTAGTTATATTAAATAAAGTACAAGGACGAACATCATAAATATTGGACTATATTTACAACAATATGTTTTCTTACATGAGTAACTATATATTGCAACTTTAAGAGAGATATCAATATCGACAACAAGAGTTCTGGTTATGGCAGAGCAACCAAAGTATTAGAAGGAAACATACACAAAAAAATATCGTCTATAAAGAAGTGTTCGGTAAGATACCATCACATTAGATATCTTTAGACTACAATAGATAATTATCTACTTAACATGACTAAAATTGATCATTTGTGCAAGTTGTAATGATGTCCTTTCATCTGAATTCACGTACTAGGCTAATGTAATAATATTTTTCGGTATTTAGATGATTTTTGTATTATTATATATAAAAGTTTTCTCATTAAGTAAAATTTATTATTCCTTCATATAAATAAATATTTAAACCATTATGTGTCATTATTAACGTGCAACGCACGTTTATAGATACTAGTATTTTTAAAACACAAAATCAGATTCATCCGAAAAATGCTTCGTAACAGACAAGTTAACTAATTGTTTGGGCATAAATACTAGTATTTCATTATTTGCAAATATGACACATCTCGAAAGCGTTTTATTAACACTCACATCTTGAATTATGTACACCTGGAAGTGGTTCTTTCCTTCTAGTTTCCTTCCCAAATTTGACTATAAATTATATAATACACTATAATTATAAAAGCATATTGCTTATACCACAATAGGTTGCGATCAAATTGCAAGTTACTGTACTACTTTTCCAGTTAGTTTTATTTTAAAATTTTCTTCTAATATTTACAACACTAGATCCGACACGCTTGCTTATGTGATGCTTATAAAGTGCCGGCTAGAGGGTAAAGCCATTGCTTCATTGGTTATATGGTAATTTTTCCAAAACTTATTTTTAGGCCCCCCAATTTCCAAAACCT